GAAAGGCTCATTCATGCCTTTCTGCCAGGGCATTCGGTAGATTTTATCTACCGAACAAAATACCGAAGGCGTGTCCACCGGGAAGCTGGCGTGTGCCTTCAATTCACCTCCCTGAAGCTAGCGTATGCCGTCAATTGACCACCCAGTAGCTGCGGTTAACCGCAGCTTAATTGACTGTTACTGGGTGGCTGCAGTTACACATAGCGGCCGCTAGGTGGCAGTGTTATTCAGCTCCCCGGACAGCCAGCGGTGCTCAGCCCGGAATCAGTGCACTAAAAGCGGACACTTTTACGTACAGGCACCGCTGATCCTCCATCCTTCCCTGCTTCTATTCGTGGCTGTTTAGCCGAACGCTGGATTGATCGGGACTTTTTCTATGTGAATGTTTTAACCCAGATAGCTATGCCATGGAGCCTATTCGTGTAATTAAATACTTTGGCTCCATGGCAATTGAACTGTGTGAATAGGATCTGAGCGCTATTCGGTAGTTATGTGCGCTCAGATCCCAGCTATCTGGGGATATGTGACATGTATGGATTTTATGTATTAAATGTAACACTGTATGTTTTAATGTATTTTACTGTCTGTGTGTCCCCACATGTATAATGGAGTTTTGCCTCTGTCCTGGGAGATAATTGGATTACTTCCCAATTATCTCCAGGATAGAGGGAGGGAAAGTAGGATGCATTGTGGGGATGTTTTACTTCTGTGTGTCTGAATGTGATACATGTCTGTCTGTGTTACAGTCTCCCATCTGGTCCCCTAGGGGAGTGTCCACCAGGTGGGAGACCTGCATAAATACTGGGCAGGTAGCCCTCAATAAACCAGACCACTGCTTGATCCTCAACACGGAGCTCTGTCTCGTCTTTGGGGGGGGATTTACTGCATGCTGTTAAAGACTGATTGCCAGGAGTGTAAGCCGCTTGGGTGCTTTTCCTGTTCGTCTGCTAGCAGCTATTCGCGAGGTTCCAGTTCGGGAGTTTGGAGTGCTACTTTGTATGCAGTTCGGGAGTTTGGAGCATTCCCTTGTATCCAGTTCGGCAGTTTGGTGTTCTGCAGTAGCTGTGCCTGTGTCTCTGGAAGGGGAAGATCTTCTAAACGGTGGTTTAACCCTTTTATGCCTGGGGGTGCCGTTACAATTGTCTGAAACTGTCATATAAAACCGTTCGTTTCAAATACTGCTGCATTTCGTGTAAACTTTCGTCTGTTTCCACGCTCACAATTTCATTCACACAATATCAGTTAATAGTTCCGTTCGGTTAAACTATCATATTAAAAAACCATTTAATTCATTATTGCTGCACTTCGTTTCAACATTCGTCTGTCTTCCCCGGTCATTGCAATTAACTCTATTTACCACACTTACATTGTAATTCATGCAGAATGAGACGAACGGCACATAAATACCTCCAATGTACTGTATACATATTAAAGGCTTTTGCGTTCACTTAATCACTATATTACTATTATTGTAAGCCCGTTCGGCTAAATCCTGCAGGTTCATTTCCTTAAATTGTAGCTAGTGTATCTTGCATAGTACTTTAGAGAATGCTAAATAGGATAATTAGGAGACTGTATTTATGCTCCAGCTTTTATTTCTGTCTTATGCATCTCTGCACATTTACGGTCACATTCCCCTAATGCATTTCATGTATTTTCATTTGGTTCTTCGGTCTGTGCCAGTTATGCAAGTATATAAGTTTAGCTAGCAATTACATGACGTTTTTCCCTCCTATTTTAATAAAGATACTACAATTACTGACATTGATTGCAGCGGTTCCATTTTTATAAAATACAACGCGGCATTATTTAAAGAGGTAGGCCTCTAAATTAATACTTACCTACCAGTATTTTCCCATATAGTCCTTTCTGGTATAACCAGGACTGTGAATTAAAACAAGTCACGTTTTGTATCTCCAAAATATTAGTTCAAGTGACCGCCCTTACAGGACAAGTCTATTCAATTTTATACGGTTAGTATCTAGTTTCATTCCTAGATTTGTCATTTTCACATTCATATTTCTGGGGGTTTAGGTTATAACTCAATCATTATGACATGTTTTAGGATCAAGTAGGGGTCATTCTTACCGACTACGTCCTACAGGCCAACAGCAGGTATGTGTGCTATAAAAAAAAAAAAAGGTAGGAACGTAAGGTTAACAAACCCTCGCCAATTAGGTAAAATTCCATAGGCCTCTTTGCCTTTAGTTGAGTGGTCCCACAAGGCCAACACTCATCCCTACACTCGGAGGTACAAGGCCAATCGCCCCAACGCATAGTTATCACCTTGCATCAAGTCATAGTTAGGGCCTCACTCGTCATGGCAAATCGATATTAAAATCTTATACGGGTCACCGAGAGGCCAACACCCCGCCACCCACCTCAGTGGCACAAAGGCCCCACGAGCCAAATCATAGGTAGAGCCTCTCAAAGCCACTTGGCAAGTAGTAAGGGTGTCATCCGTCACCTAAAATAGTGAGAATAATATAATTTCGCCTTCGGGCACTAAACTAGTAAACTGGGTTACTTCATATCCACACGAATACCATATTAACTAAGTTATCTGCCTCACACCCATAGCATGTCTACGCTTCCATACAAGGAGATGACCTGTCGGTTACCAGCACCCCAATCAGACCAGGCTCGCAGATAAGGCAAACTAGTGTGCAGCTATAGATCCTGGACAATACCTAAAATTACTGCTGAACTTAAAAAGAGAAATATTCCCTTCCTGGCCACAGCCAGGAAAGCCAAACTTTTTCGCCTATTAAATGTGAATGAGGACAATGAAAGACCCAGCCCTAGTTCTGAATATAATATTCAAAATAGCCTTTTAGAACTGCACAACATGATGGCCTCCCTAGTGCCTTCTTAGCCACAATAAATACCAGGTTGGATAATTTGTAATCTAATAGCAGACCAACCATTCTGGAGACTCCAGTACCTATAGCCCAGCCAGGAGGTAACGCTAACCCTCTACCTGCTAAAAGTACCAACATAATAAACCCAATTCATCTAATCCCACAAAACATTAAACGTGACATAATAGAAGGGAAATACACTAATCTGGCTTCTCAAGCTTCTCATAGCTTCTCAAGACGTAATTGAGAACAAATCATACATGTTCGATGACTTGTCAGTAGTTCTGAAATCGAGAGACCCAAGACTGAACAGAAAATATCCCTGAATTTGTCCTGGCTTTCGGCCTTTACAGGGACGTAATTTGTTCTGCTTTTCCCCACCGTAGAGACGAACTTGACTTATATTTACATAAGATAATTGACTTGGGGTATAAATACAGAGGCTACGCCTTTTATGACTACCACAAGTCCTTCGCATCCAGATCAGCTGCGTCACTGGCCCAATATAATACACCTACCGACTGGGGCCAGTTAGACACAGAGTAATTTTGTAGACATTTTGCAGGTCTCAAAACACCTTCTTGCGCAATATGTTCCTCAGCAGCTCATACTGTTAACTTTTGTCCCAGCAATGTAGCAATTCCCTCCACTAGCAATGCCAACCCCCAAGTATCAACCTAACATGGCCCAAAGAGAATTGAGAGATAAACTAGGCAGGCCAATTGTTTTTCTTGGAAAGGCTCAAGTCTGTAACAACTTCAATGCCGGAGGTTGTAGTTACAGTGCTTGCAGACTCCTTCACGTGTGCTCACTTTGTTACAGAGCACAAACCTAAAACAATGTGCCCAAACAGATTGTACCCTAAAAGATCGTCTACACTAATAAACATTCCTAATTTGCAATCGTTAGCTGTCTAATTATCCTTCTTTAGATCTGGTAGAATTTCTCACATCTGGTTTCTCTAATGGGTTTCATGCAGGTTTCGTTGCACTCCCCACAGGAATTCTGGAATGCCCCAACCTACAGTCAGCGCTCACTGACCCTAGTAGTCTATAGGAACTCCTCCATAAAGAAATCAACAACGGTTTCATGATAGGGCCTTTTACAACCCCACCTTTCACCTCCTTGAGAACGAACCCTCTAGGCATAGCTACAGGGAAGTTTAACAATAAAAAAAGACTCATAATTGATTTTTCAGCACCTCACTCTTCCACGACACCTAGCTTAAATGCACTCATACCATCCGAGGATTTCTCTATACAATATACTAGAATAGACGATGCCATACAAGCTATCATTAACTCCGGCCAGGCAGCATGGTTAAGTAAAACACATATTACAAATGCATTCAAACTACTGCCAGTCCATCTATCACTCTGGCACCTGCATGGCGTTAAGTGGGAAGACAAGTATTATTTCGCAACCAGACTAACTTTTGGCTCCAAAAGTAGCCCCAGGATTTTTTATATTTTCGCCGAAACTTTGACCTGGCTCCTACTTAACAAATGCAGATGTCCAGTAATCATTCACTATTTGGACGATTTTCTCTCTGTTGAACCATACCACTTCACACCATGCAGCCTACATCACATGCTGTCACTATTTGAGGATTTAGGAGTTCCAGTAGCCCCGGACAAAACAGAAGGTCCCAACACCGAGATTACGTTAGCTAGCCTGCCCCAAGCAAAGGTAGATAGAATTCTAGCATACATCGACATCTGCACCTCACAAGCGTCTTGCACCAGGAAAGAGCTACAGTCACTTCTGGGGTCACTCAATTTCTCGATGAGGATAATTCCACAGGGGAGGTAATTTATTTCCAGAATTCTCTCTCGCTTACATGGTCTCCTAGGCGATGATTCCAGAACTTAGACGAACCAGCTAGAGTCAATTTAAAAATGTGGCTTCTATTTCTATCCTCTTGGAACGGCAGGTCATTATTCGTACCCCCATCTCTGACGATTCCCCGGTAATTTGGACTGACGCATCAGGTGCCATAGGTTATGAAGCAATTTTTGGCAATGACTGGGTATACGACTCTTGGCTACCAGAGACTACCTCACTAGAAAATTTAAACACAACCTCAGCACTATTTGAAATTTTCCCGATTGTAGCCACAGCACACATTTGGGGTAAAGAGTGGGTAAGTAAATCAGTGAGGTGTTTCCCAGACAACTTGGCAGCATGTAACATCATTAATAAAGGCCGCTCTCAGTTCCTTACCATCATGAACTTAGTAAGGAAACTTACCTGGTTAGCGGCAAATCTTCAGTTCTGTCTTAATTGTATTCACGTTCCAGGAATTCAGAATAATGCAGCTGACGCACTCTCATGTTCTAATTTGCAGAAATTTTTTAGAGGCCATCGAACAGCAAACTTACAACCCAAAGAACCTCCAAAGCTCACAGACCTAGTAATGCTCTAAATACCCTGTTAAGTCGCAGTAGGTCGCTCGCACAAGCTGGTTTATCACTCAATACCAAGAAAGCCTATACCAGAGCATATGATTTGTTCAAAAAAGTTGTACGTGATTATTGTGTAATAAATGTCTTTTCCATAGAAACCATGGTCGCATTCACAACTGTTTTCTAAAATTAGCATACAATACAATCAAACTTTACTTAACAGGCATACAACACTACATGTTAACTATTTACCCAAACAAAGCTCCATTCCTAGCATCTTACCCAGTCAAAAGTGTCCCTAGAGGCATTCAGAGACTAACAGTTCATAATCCCATTAAAAGACTTCCAATAGATAGTAATGTATTTAGGAACATCTCTGATCTACTAGACAAGACCCCCTTTGAGTATGTCACTAATCTGATAATCAAATCCGCAGCCTACATAGCCTTTTACGGTTTCCTGAGACCTAAGGAATTTTCTGTGGAAAAGGCATCCGACTTTAAGTCATGCCTTAAGCAGAAACACCTAACTAAAACTAACGACCACTCTATTTTGTCAATCTCTCATACCATAACGAGCCAGACTGGCCACCCAGCAGAGATTAAATATTACCCTACCTCTACCAAGTGGTGTCCAATTCAAATATTGGTCAAGACACAGCTTACAACTGACCCCGAATCCCCACTATTAGCCATTCAAGGGAAACCCCTAACCACCAAACAGTTCATGCTATACGTACGCACATTGTTACTCAGGCTGGGACACAACCTGCATTCATTCTCTGGCCATTCATTCATTCATTCCGTATTGGGGCGGCCACAGCAGCTTCCGGTAAACATTTGTACCAATACATATCATAAAAAACATGGGACGTTGGAAATCTTCCGCATACAACAGGTACATCCCTAATCCAGTAAAATAAATCAAATTAGCTTTCCATAAAATGTCTAAATAATGTCTTGCTAAATAAAAATATGTCTGACATAAGAAATAATTTTCTTACATTTTTGCCCTCTTTTTACAGGTCTAACCTCATGTTGGTTTCGGCACACCTCAACCGACTTTGTTCTTATTAAACTTTCATTATATCATAACCATACGTTCCTCTAAGTGTGCCGTATACAAATGGAAGGCTTGGCCTGTAATTGTGGGAGGGACTATTAGTCCTATTTAAACCCAGTAAGCCCCTGCTCACCTGTTGTCGACGATCTCGGAAGTTCCCCTCCCACCGCACCCTTTATTACTTCATATTATCTAGGTGGGCACTCTTTTTACAGGTCTAACCTCACGTCGGTTTCAGCATACCTCAACTGACTTTGTTCATATTAAACTTTCATTACATCATAACCATACGTACCTCTAAATGTGCCCATACACAAATATATATATATATATGTAAGTTCTACATACATATATATACACATACATACATACATACATACATATATATATATATATATATGATATTTTTACATAATAAAGTAATTTTATTAATTACAGTTTGAGGGACCTGCCTGACAATCCAAGCAGAAAGTCCACAGAATTTGGTTTGCAGGCCCTATATTTAACCCTGTAACTTTCCAAGTCAACATAAAACCTGTACATGGGGGTTACTGTCTTACTTGGGAGACTTCGCTGAACACAAATATCAGAGTTTCAAAAAAGTAAAACGTATCACAAAGATAGAAGAGCCATTGATTGCATTTTTCACACAAACTGCACTTTCAATGACTATCATTGTTGTGATACATTTTACTGCTTTGAAACACTAATATTTATGTTCAGCGAAGTCTCCCGAGTATAATAGTGCCCCCCATGTACAGGTTGTATGGTGTTTTGGAAAGTTACAGAGCCAAATATAAGGCTTGCATTTCATTTTTTTTACATTGAAATTTGCCAGATGGGTTGATGTTGTCTTTGAGACCATATGGTAACCCAGGAATGAAAATTACCCCCATGATGGCATACCATTTACAAAAGTAGGTAACTCAAGATATTGCAAATGGGGTATGTCCAGTCTTTTCTAGTAGCCACTTAGTCACAAACGATGGCCAAAATTAGCATTAAATTAGTTTTTTGCATTTTTCACACACAAATATAAACGCATACTTGGGCCAGTGTTTGTGACTAAGTGGCTACTAAAAAAGACTGGACATACCATTTGTAATACCTTGGGTTGTCTACTTTTGTAAATGGTATGCTATTTATGGGGGTAATTCTCACTCCTGGGCTACAATTTGGTCTCAAAACCAACATAACCAGCCTGACAAAATTCAATGTGTATAGGGGGCGGGGCCTGACAGCCAAGATGGCCGGACGTACTCCTTGAGAGCTCCTGCACCAGCAAGCAAACAAACGTGCATCCTGACTAAACTGCACATACTCCCCACGAGCTCCCAGGGGGGCCTTCAGTCAGAGACAGAGGCGGGAGGCGAGATGGCGAGAAAGGGCAACAGATCCCTCAGACGCCGACACTCAGCTTGACATGCACCACAGCAAGACCACTCCCCACACAGCGGCGCAGAAAACCACCAACCACCGAAAAGCAACCCCACGGATGAAGATCCACGAGATCCAACCTCCGGCCAGCGAAAGCCAAATGTGGAGAGCACCTCCGAGACGAAGGAGCGACGGAACTCTACAGCGGCACCAACTCTGCCATTGCCCTTCGCTCACCCATCAAGCCCCCATCGCAGACCGACCAGAACAAGCCGCGCAGAGAATAGACACAGGAATCGGCTGACTGCTGAATGGGGCCGTCGAGCTGCATCTACCTGAGCACTATGAGACACTGAGCTTTGCAGCAGCTAGCTCCATGCTATAAGACTCTCGTAAGCCAACCAGATGAAGCATTTAAGCTAGTACTCATGTTTTGATATGACCTGTAAGTTAGCCTGGTTATAGATTAGGAAGTTAATTTTAAATGGCCTCACCTAGCCCATCTTAAATGTAGGATTCAATACACCCAACAAGTTAGTTACCTGCATAAGATTAATAGCTTTGTTTTAGCATGAGCCCAGTTTATTAGCATGTATACTACTGTTACTTTAGTTGTAATCTCTGCTATGACCTCACAACTTAAACACTGAATGTGTGCCTAACCTATTGCATAGTCCAGTATTTCTCATATAACAGTCTACCTAGATAGGCATCGCTACCAGAATAGCTTGTTTATACCATAACATTTAAAAATGTGCCGATACTCTCATGCCACGATTGTACAACTACTGTGTTTATATCTTTCAATTATGCCGTTGTGGCATTGAAAACGTTTTGTCATTCCTTGCACAAAGAAAAATAAAGAATTTAAAAAAAAATAAAAAAAATAAAAAAATTCAATGTGTATAAACTGAAAAACGTAACGTGCTATATTTGACTCTGTAACTGTCCAAAACACCATAAATCCTATACATAAGGGGTACTGTTTTACTTGTGAGACATCGCTGAATACAAATATGTATACTTTATCGCAATAACAGCCAGAGCCGGTGCAAGGATTTATGCCGCCCTAGGCAAAAGAAAAATTAGCCCCCCCCTATGTGACATCACAATGCCCCACCCATATGATCTGCCATATGAACTAACACCAGTGCTGCACACAGTGAGTGTTTACATTAAAAAGCCTGCAAGGACAGGCTATAGACACCAGAACCACTTAATTAAGCTGCAGTGGTTCTGGAGACTATAGTGTCCCTTTAATGTGAGGTAAATTAGAGATTAGTGTCACTAATAATATACTAGATTGCCTACTAACAACCAGATGAGGATGGTGATGGGCTCTGGCTGCAGTTTGGCTCCACTGGTCTGGTGTAGAACCGGATCTCTGGAGGCTGTTTGTAACTGTGGTCACAAAATTCAATGTTCTGGGAGAATGGGAAACAGCTCCATTTTTGGGGGCTTACACAGCTCAAGGTCTGGGCCCCAGGGCCTGACGGTGAGTATGCCCATAAGGCCCATCCATATGTCCACCTATATGTTCCACCCATGAGTTCGCTCACAGGGAGTGGAAGTGTGTAGGGGATGTGTTATGTGTTATTGTAGAGGATCTTATGTGTGTCCTTTGGAATGTAGTGTATAGGGATACCAGTTTGTGTAGTTGATGCAGTGTGTTTGTGTGTAGTGGAAGCAGTGTGTGTTTGTGTATAATGGATGTATTGTGTGTTTCTGGTTGTGTGTAAGGGATGCATTGTGTGAATCTGTGTTTGTATGCATAAGGGATGCAAGGTGTGTGTCTGTAAGTGTGTGCATTGAGTGTGTGTAAGAAATGCATTGTGTTTCTGTGTGTATGTAAGAGAAGCAGTGTATGTATGTGTGTGTAAGGGATGCATTGTGTGTTTCTGTGTATGTGTGCAAAGGATGCATTGTCTTTGTGTGTAAGGGTTGCATTGTGTGTGTGTGTGTGTGTGTGTGTGTAATGGATGCATTGTGTGTTTCTCTGTGTGTAAAGGAAGCATGTTGTGTTTCTGTGTGTGTAGGGATGCATTGTGTGTTTCTGTGTATGTATAGGGATGCATTGTGTGTGTGCACGTAGTGTGAAAGAGCTCCCTATCCTGCCCCCTGTCCTATAGAGCTCTCCCTTCTGTCCCTTAGAGTTCTCCACTGCCCCATAGTGGTCTCTCTTCACCACCCACCCTCCCCTAGTGGTCTCTTCTCATACCCATCCACCCTCCCTGTGTTCTTCTTTTTTTTACATATACTTCATTAAACAAAGTATTAACTTCCTCCCCTCTTTTTACTCCCCCTCCCCACCTCTTCTTCTTTCTCTCCGTTTTCTTCTTACTCCCCCCTTCTTCTTCTTACTCCCCCTTCCCCTTCTTCTTACTCTGCCTGTTTTCTTCTTACTACTCCCCCTCCCCCTTCTTTTTACTCCCCCCTCCCCTCTTCTTCTCACTCTCCCCCTGTAACGGATCACCTGGCACCCCGACTGGGTACCTCCGTTGAAGGATGCTC